CTCCCCTATATATATATATATATATATATATATATATATATGTATACATACAAATATATAGAGGATATTTCAAATGCATTTCATCATATTTCTACAACCCAATCAATTGAGATATTAATTGAAATGATGATAGTTCATTTATTATAATTTGAATATTTATGGAATATAATTAAGGTTCATTGATTATGACCGATACTTTATATTAGAAAACAATCAAAACTTTTATGAAATCACATATTCATCAAATTAAATAGACGGTTGACATTGAATTGAGCTGTATTTGTTGTACAAATATAAATATTTGCATAATAACTCACCTCTCTCTATATACATATACATACATATATATACTATATATATACATATACATACATATACATACATATATATTATATATATATATATATATATATACACCTTTAAACCCCCCCCCCACCCAAGATCTTATGGGATCAACAATATAAGATTAACACATATAAAAACACACATGAAATTTGAATCACACATTCTCAATTTTGGGTTATGTGCCATGAGAAAAATCAAGAAAATGTTGTGAAATTTGGGTGCCCAAAAGGTTAAAACAGAGAAAGGAATCAAATTTACTTTGAGAATTGAATCAAATGAATCTAAACTTCTTGTAGGGATTTGGAAAGCAAAGATCCAATTTGGAATCTGTTTTTGAAAACAAGAAAAACAAAAGCCCCAATTGGAATCTGTTTTTGAAAACAAGAGTCTTTAGGAATACTGAATCTTGAAAACAAGTAAAGTTAACACTTTGAAAACAGGGGAATGAACCAAAACAGAGGAATGAATCAGATTCATTTTGACAATGGAGTAAATATTTTCATGTGGGTTTTCAGAAAACAAAAAACCCATTTAGAATCTGTTTTTGAAAACAAGAAAAAACAATAGAAAAACAGAATCTTGGAAACACAACCCAAAAAAGAGAGAAACTTAAACTTTGGAAACAGGGGAATGAATCAAATTCATTTCTAACCCGCTATGCGAGCCGACTAATCCTAGGTCAACCACCTGCTTTGCAGATAGCCTGAAGTCACCACATTTGAACCTCCATGGCCACAAGGGGATTTTTACTCCTCCTTGGATTTGAACCTGGGACCTCCCGGTACTTTTGACCTTTGGAGCCAAGCTCAAACCAATCAGGCACCACAAATGAGTTTCATTTTGAGGAAGATATCAAAAGATTTCATGTGGGTTTTTCATAGAACAAAAAACCCATTTAGATTCTGTTTTTGGAAACAAAAAAAGCAATAGAATCATAAAAATCTTGAAGCCATAAAAAAAAGTAAAAACAGGAGAATCAATGGGAATGGAATTCATCTTAGGAATGGAATCTAACCTTCATGTGGGTGTCTTTGAATCCAGGCCTCTGTGTAGCTGCAATTGGAATTAGAACTCAGAGAGGAATCAAAATGTAGAGAGAGAAAGAGAGTGAGATGAGAGAGAGAGAGAGAGTGAGAGTTATATCAAATGTATAAATAATGGGTTTTAATTGAAAAAGAGAAAGAAGGTGTGGATGGACACGATATCACAGAGGGAAAAAAAACAAGAAATTGCAGTGTAGGAGAGAGAAGGGTTTAACTTTTTACATATTTATATCAACTGTGTTACGGTTTTTCTTTTTGGAAGGGTGTTTCAGGCTATGACTAGATTAATCTCGACAAATTATGACTGTAAAAGCATGGACGGACCTAGAGCAGAGAATACGGTGGCACGTGCCACCATATTATTCCTCCGTCGAAGGGTAAAAAAAAAAAATTTAGGTTCGTGAAAGGTGCAACAGTATTAATTTGTTGTGTGCTACCGTATGTATTTCGAAACTACAATGAGAACATGTTTTATTTGGTAGAGTTGGTTTGCAAGGCTTTTCACTCCACCCCAGACCCAAGTTTGAATCATGTTAATGTCATTTTCTTAGTCAAATGGTGTCACCGCTTGAAGAAAAAAAAAACTTCGTACATTTGTTTCTTATAGTCAAATGGTGTCACTGTTTGAATTTTTTTCCCTATATCTTTTTTTTATAGTCAAACGGTGCCACCGTTTGAAAAAAAATTTGGGTGTGTCCCTGTGTAAAAGATCAACCCCGATTTTATGGACATATGGATTGAACCCATGATAGATGGGATATTCCACCACATCCCCCTAAATTTTAATCATTTTGAAAAATCCAGTTAAAAACGCATCATCGGTATTTTTGTTACTGTTTTGAAAGGATTTCAGATGTCTAAGGTTGGAATTCGTGAAAAGTATAATCGGTTGAGTTATTGTCTAAACGATTTCTAGATGAATTTTCGTATATCAAGAAACAGTATTACACTTTGAGTGGTTGTTTTACGTCTTTAATTTGTTAGCTTTATGTTATGTGGATGTTAGAGGGTGAGCTGTTAAATCTTGTGAACGAGGGTTGAGATATCGTTTGTTTTTATATTGGCATATTCTAAATAGTCATATTTATAAAGAATGTGACAACTTTGGTGGTCATTCGAACAGATGAAAATTGTTGGTATTTTTGCCATGTGGGTTTTGAAGTGAGTGGTCGAGGTCGAGACCTCGACCTTATTAGATACAGTAGTTACCTCTAGAAAACACCAGGCAACCGACAAATACCCAATCTTTGAAAGATCATTCAGCATGATGCATACTGATATCTAATAACGTTTTTATGTCATGCGTACTTGACTTACTCGATATCTTCTTGTAACCATCTCTCAGTTATGATGGAGTGAAACCGAACCCCTGAGACGTTGAAAGTAAGGATCAACTTATAGTTAGATTAAGATTATGAAGAGTTTTATTATGGTGACTACAGTGAAAAATACGTAATACTACATTCGTCTGTTAGATCAACAAAATACAGTGTACGACTTATTAATTAATAATCACTAACAAGTCATACCAGAATATATACTAACACGATCTGTATATTGTTTGTGCAAAAGGGTTTATAGCCGATAACCTCTAAGTCGACCTATACTGCTCTATCCCGAGGGTATCACGTGAGAAACGAATCGTGTACACAGTGGCTTGTTAGATTGTTGGTTTAAGAGCTTAATTCCCACAAGAAGGCCCGTCCCCAAGAGAATTGTATGTCCCACATTGCTAGTGTTAGATATGAACCCGCATTTAACAAATATGAACCTTTATGTCGAAATAATCCACTAAAGAGGGTGGGGTACATAACATAGTTATAGTATAGTGTTTTCCAATGCAATAAGTTACGTACGTTAGGAATGGGAATGGGAATGGGACGGGGACCTCAATCCCCGTCCCTGTCCCCGTCCCCGTCCCCATCCCCACCGGGGAATATAATCACATCCCCATCCCCAACGGGGAAAGGGGGATTTTTTTCCCGTTTATATAAGTTATTTTAAATTAAATATGTGAAAGACCATACATGTTTAAATCTCAAACATTTTCAATAAACCTAAAACTAAAATGAATTTAATTTAATACAAAAAAAAAACCACAACATCATATAAAAAAGGGAAAAGTACAATAAAAACCAATGAACTTTCTTGTTTGGAATGATTAAGTCCTTGAACTTTTTTTTGGAACAAATAAGTCATTGGACTTTCCAAAACATGTTAAATAAGTCCTTGAACATTCCAAAATATGTTAAATAAGTCCTTGGACAATTTTTGGAACAAATAAGTCCTTGGACATTCCAAAAAATGTTAAATAAGTCCTTGGACAATTTTTGGAACAAATAAGTCCTTGGACATTCCAAAAAATGTTAAATAAGTCCTTGGACAATTTTTGGAACAAATAAGTCCTTGAACAATCCAAAACATGTTAAATAACTTTTTGAAAAAAATAAAGTGGTAAAATAGTGAAAAAAAACCCAATGAACATTCATATTTTGAACGATTAAGCCCCTAAATATTTTTTCAACCAAAAAGTATTTAGATCTATAAAATTAAACAAATATAACAAAAAAGTACTCACATTTACAAAAAAATAATTATCATTTTAACTAGTTGTACAAGTCATAAGAATGTATCCAACATGTTCTATAAAAGTTCAAGAAGTTATTTAACATGTTTTGGATTGTTCAAGGACTTATTTGTTTCAAAAATTGTCCAAGGACTTATTTAACATTTTTTGGAATGTCTAAGGACTTATTTAACATATTTTAGAATGTTCAATGACTTATTTGTGCCAAAAAATTGTCCAATGACTTATTTAACATGTTTTGGAAAGTTCAAGGACTTATTTGTTCYMAAAAAAAGTTCAAGGACTTAATCATTCCAAACAAGAAAGTTCATTGGTTTTTATTGTACTTTTCCCTATAAAAAACTAATAACCTAAAACCAAAAAAGTTCAATTAAATCCAACAAAAAACTTAAAGTCACGTGTACCAAAAGATATTGAGTAATATAAAATCATATCGAGTAATATACAAAACTTATCGAGTAATTATATTTTGATTTGACATCCAAAATATTACATATTAACATTAAAAAAAACAATTTAGATTACAAACCTAGTTAGGAAATAAGAAATTATGAACTAACGTTTTAGTTGAAATAAATAATATACATATATATATGTACAAATAAATATGTATATATATATATATAAATTAATATATATATATATATATATATATATATAACGGGTGCGGGGCAGGGGGAGTACCATACCCGTCCCCGTCCCCATCCCCGATTTAGCAGGGAATCCCCGTCCCCAACCGGGGCGGGTGGACCGGGTTCTCCGATGGGTCGGGGCCAATTCTCATACCTAGCGTAGGTTTTTTTATACCACTCCAGAATCAAATGTGCTACATATAGGTGCATATTGTTCTGTGTTAAATAATTGCATGAAATATTAAGCTATCATTATTTTTTTTATTAACCTGGATATTCAACCCACTATGCAAGCCGACTAATCCCAGAGAGACCACCCGCTTCGCGGGTAGCCCGGAGTCACAGCATTTGATCCCCCATGGCCACAAGGGGATTTTTATTTCTCTTTGGGTTCGAACTTGGAACCTTCAGACACTTTTGAACTTTTGACCTTTGGAGCTCAAGTTCAAACAATCGGACACCGCTCTTGTGGTTTAAGCTATCATATTTCTTGTTAGGTGTTATCGATTCTGTCGATATACGAAATACTGAAATGGTAAAGAAAAAGAAACCTAACACACGATCATTTGATATATCAACACCACTATAGGTAGTATGCATTTTCAATATAAAGTAATTGGTTTTCCAAAACTGTACAACATAAAACCAAACGTAGCAAGAATATCACATACTTTTCGAAAATCAAGTCACATATCAACTCAATAAAGTGATAGTTGTTAAGTTTAATTCCAACAAATGTTATCAACCCATGTTATGAATTACATCAAATGAGAGTTTCTTGATTCAAGTATATCATATATATATTATGATAGTAAACCAAAACTGTAGGGACTGTTTGACAGTTGTTGAATGGTTTGATGCAGAATTACTAAGAAGCTCTCATGATATAGTGCAAAATGAAATATAATTGTTTGGTAATTGTTTACAATGAAACTAGGGGCACTGAATGGTTAAGGAAAGCCCATGATACAAAATCATTTAGAGGATTTTAGAACCATTAAGAAACAGACTTTGTTTTTTCCAAACAAGATTCACCTCTTAACGATTCAAAGGTTGACTCTTAATGAAACTATTAAGAGGTAAACAAACAACCCGTTATTACACAAGGTTTGGTCCACAATCCCAGTTGGTTGGGGAATCTTTTGCATGCTTTTGCAAATTTCAATTTTCCAACTCATTATTCTTAGTTTTTTTGTGTGATTTAATTAAATTTATGGTAGGTTTGATTTCATGATTAACTATAGAAGATAGAATTTGGTGATGTAATGATTCACAATCTTATGGATGGTGTTTGTATTGGGCATATTTCCTTTTTGCATCATCATACATTGTCCACTTATGTTTGGCATCACATATGCTTTTAGAATTTACAACACTCATCACACACCTATGCTCATTTTTATATGTTGTAATAAGTTTTATATATATATAGAGAGAGAGAGGAGTGATCAAATAAAAACCACCCTCATTTGTGTAAACCGTGCAAACTACCTTCATCCGTCGATTTCATTGTTTAATCTTATGAATTTTTTTCATGAAATTGTTTAATCTTGTGAAATTGTTTCATATAATACTTTTTTTGATCAAGTTGTTTCATATATGGTTGTGAAATTGTTTCATATAATACTTTTTTTGATCAAGTTGTTTCATATATGGTTGTGAAATTGTTTCATATAATACTTAATGAAACTGTTTCATGTATTTCTCTAAAATTAATTAATGAAACTGTTTCATGTATTTCTCTAAAAATTAAATAATGAAGATGATAATATCTATGATTAACACCCTCCACAATAAAAATGATTAATCAACCTCTCATAATTACAAAAAAATGAACAAAATGAAAAATTATGATTGGTTGAATGAGGTTTGCACGGTTTGTACAAATTGAATGGTTTGCATTTGATCGTTCCCCTATATATATATATATATATATATATATAATATAATAATACATTATACAGATAGAGGAGGTTTACTTTGTAAACCATCCATTTCATACAAAACTTACAAACTAAGCATATTCATCCTTTTTTTTTATGAAAGGTCAAGATTGAAATAAACTAGATAAGTAAAGTAAAAAAAAAAAAAAAAAGGAATTCATGTTGGAGACATGGAAGGGCAAAATGGGGAAAGACATATTCTATGAACCTGTTTTATTACAGCTGTTATACATGTGAACTTGATGCAATCATATATGACCTATGAACTTGTTTTATTACAGCTGTTATACATATGAATCTGATGCAATTATATATGACTTATAAACTTGTTTTATTACAGCTGTTATACATATGAACATGTTTCATTACAAATTGTTGTACACACCTATGAATATAAATTTGTTTCATTACAGTTGTTATACATATGAACCTGATGCAATCATATACGACCCCGTTTCATTGAACCATTTGAGTCTGTTTCATTGGAAATTACCATGTTTTAGTGAAGAGTTTGAGTCTGTTTCATTGGAAATTACCCTGTTTCATTGAATAGTTTGAACCTAATTCATTGGAAGCAATTTTTTTCAAAAAATTTAATGGATACCTCAGTTAAATTTTTGCTAGTATTGTGTTAGATATATATATATATATATATATATATATTTATAAATATAATGTTGTTACCAAACTTTTCTATTGATATTAAATAATTTCCAAACATGAGTATTGTAAATTCAAATCACCATAATACCCTTATACATTAAAAAAAACAAATGGATTTATGTGACTGGTTGTAATTAGTTTATAAGATTTGTACAAATTGGAACGGTTTGTATTTGATCGTTCCTTTATAAAAATAAGCATTATATATGTGTATATATATATTGAGGGATTCGAAAATATCTGTATTTTACGAAAATATGAGAACACATGCAAGTTCATCGATCCCTTTTAAGTCACAGTAACAGGACTATTAAAATATTAATGAAATATTTGTTCTTTTAGGAATACTGAAGGCATGTAGGGACAAAATCGGAACAAAATTTGCAAATCAAATACTGATTTAATATGACCCGATAATCGAGGACGTGATCATCACTATCTTATGATTTGATATTGAACCGTCAAATGATGGTATCACTATCACATGTGATAAATATGTTGCTTATACGTGAAAAATATAGCATTACATTATAATTCATATATAAACGTTTTTTTTTCTTGAATTCTTTTAATAATTCACACATGAATATGTTATTGACTTTTACTACTTACCTTTTCATGTATTTAATTAACTTTTGACATTTTTTTCATTAACTTGGATATCCAATCCGTTTTACGAGCCAACTAATTTCAAGGCGACTATCTGCTTTGCAGGTGGTCGGAGTCACCGTATTTGAACCATCGTGGCCATAAAGGGGATTTTTATCGCTCCTTAGATTTAAACCTGAAACATTCAGATACTTTTGACATTTGGAGTCCAAACTCAAACCAATCAGTTTAATTTTCGACATGTGATAATTATTAATATAATTCCATCTTGTCATTGTATTTAATGTGGTGGGGGTGTATATCATGTATAGGTGGAAAGTGGGCCCAATGGGCCCATGGTAACCGGCCTATATATCTTAAATGGGCCCCAAATCTTTTAGTACCATGGAATACTAGGTAATAGCCTAATAGGTATGGTTCAAATGGCTTTTAGAGTAAATTACCTTTTTAGTCCTTGTAATTTGTTAAATTTTTTTATTTTCATTTCTGTAATTTTAAAAGTATAAAAAAATGAATAATTTTTTGCTAACAAATCTCTTTCAGCCCCCAAAATATGAACCATGTGATAGAGAGGGGATTAGGATTAAGAGGTATTAAGTGATACATTTACCACTTAAAATTTCAGATGACATTTAGAGCTTTTAAGCCCTTATTTTAAAAGTAAAACAAACGCTCTTAATACACAAACGTCTTAACGAATCAGACTTCAGAGGTATTAAGAGATAATTTTGAAAAAAAACAAATAAACTCTTACCCTCTTATGCAAATGAGCATAAACAAACATGTATGTATGGCTTAACGAACGTAAGTCATACATATCATTAAGCTCATTAAGTCATACAAACAACCCCTTAATTGACCAAGTATAACACAATTAAAACGATATTCACATGTTTTTCTCAGATAAAATTTGCAGACAGCGCAACATGGAATACTGATATGAATGAAACAGAGTTTGTCTTATTTCTTTTTTCCTCGGTACAAATATATAGTTTTTAAGGTTGTACATGAGTTTGTGCAATTTAGCATGTTAAAGGGATTAAAAGTGACGACAACTCAAAGTATAAGGACTTGAAAGTAAAAAAGTTAAAAATAAAATAAAATGTCAGAAGTGGGATTTGAACCCACGCCCTCTCACGAAGACCAGAACTTGAGTCTGGCGCCTTAGACCACTCGGCCATCCTGACTTTTTGTTATTTATTTTTACATTAAATTATTTAAATAAATATTTTATTTTAAATTATTTAAATAATATATCTTTCATAAATCCTATAAAATCATGTAAATGTTAGAGATCTGAATGACTTGGGATCATGTGAGACAAGGTTGTTTTCATGAGACACGATTTTTATACTTGAAACTTTCACAGTGTATTTGCTTTGAAGATTCAGTTTTTTTACTTTCACAACATTTTGTTTCAAGTATAAAAATACACTGTGAAAGTTTCAAATATAAAAATCGTGTCTCACGAAAACAACGTTGTCTCACGTGAACCCAACCCCTCATAGGATAGTTGGTATTTTATGAGATTTCATAAAATTTGATTATAATAATATTTTAAAAGCATTTATTTTGTAATAATCAATTAAAAAGGATAATTTAGTTTTTTATAATTTATTTTTATAAAAAATAGAATTCAATTTTATTTCAAATTCGGCAAAAAAAAAACACATAGATTCTAAATTTATCTGATTTCAAATCCTTTCACAAAATTCAAAGCTCTCAAAAGCATTCCATCAAATCAAAAGGTTCATTTCTTGTTTTATCAGAGAAGATTCTCATCTGTCAAAATAGTATGCTAAAATATTAAAATTGTTGGTAAGTGTTAACCAGGTAAATATTTATCAGACAGTTTATTTTCATTCAATACTTGTGTAAACATAAGATTAAAATGGTAAATTTTGTTGTTCAGATTATTTATTCAAATCAAACAACAAATTATCTTAATTTATCCAAACAGATTAATACTTAGAAACAACGTAACAGATTCAGCTAAAACAGCCCTACATTTCTGACTGAAGGGAAAGAAAAGATAAAGGTTGTAGTAACACACTGAGAGGTCATTACAGGGGCCTAACCCTGTTTTTAAAGGCCTTAAATAGGTCCTTGTATGAAGGTGTTCTTGTGCCTAGCAGGAGCTTCGTAAGATGGTTTAATTGGTCACTTGCGTAAATCTGGAAGCTGGGGTTAAGAGATGATATTGTGTTCTAGTTGGTGTTGATGCTGCTCTTACAGTAGCAAAAACAAGATAATCATTGTTAATTAAATCCGTAAAAGAACAGACTTCTGTCTGCTGCTTCCTGCTTTTTTTT